TCGCACGAATGTCACACTGGTACTAGAAAATGTCAAATTGTTACAAACCAATGTTACATTATTGCAAGTCAATGTCACACTGCATACATTGACATGACGCATGTCACAATGTATATGACTTTTTTGGTTTTTTTTTTTGGCAAATGGTCGAACACTTGATGTCCATGTAGTACAAAACACCAAAAGTAAAAAGTTAATCGAAGGAAAAAAAAAGTAAATAAAATAAAAACGTTGGGAGAAACAACATTTTTCTTGAGTTATCAACTTTTTTTCCAAAAATTTCAACGATCTTCTTCTTCAGCGATGAGTTTCGGTATGGTCATCACTGTCTGATACCGATATTTCTCCTTATTTATAGTGAACCCATCAAAAAACACATCACTTATTTAAAGGGATTTTCACATCCTATTCAGCGATCAACATGAAGTTTTGAAAAGAAAGGAGGTTTTAGGGAAGGTTTCTCACCAAACATCGGAAGAATGTTTGTTTTCTGGCAAGATTTCCACTTATTCATGTTGAAACAATAAAAAACCCAATTACTTGTGAATAGTGATTTTCACTTCTTTAGCAACAATCAACAGAAAGTTTTGAAAATCCAAAATGAGGTTTTATGGAAGCTTTTGGAAGAATGGAATTTTTCGACGATATTGAAGGGATTTATGTGTAACACTTAAGATTCCTTAAGTTTCGATTGTGGAGGCAAAAATATAGGAATGATTCTCATTCTACTGAATGGGGTATTCTAGAGATTTGTTAGGTGTTGTGTACTTTTTGACCTATATTTTTTAAAGTGATACTTTTTGCCCTATAATTTCTAAAAAAGGTAACGACCCCCTTAAAACCCTTAATTATAATAGTAACTACAATAATTTAAATTACTATATACTACATGTATATATTAATAACTAGGTTTAGTAAAAATTAAAATGAGAATTAATTCTCCGACACATAATTTATTTATCCAATTTAATTACACATATAATCTATATTTTTTATAAATTTAACAAAAAAATATTATTTAAAAATATTCATTTGCACGTCGTTTGTTGCTAGCCTAATTTTCATAAAATAAAGTATACCTTTATAATTTATACTACTAATAAAAGGAAGTTAAGTGAAAACTTTTTGATTGACTATAATATCTTTCACAAAACATATAATTCCCTTCAACAATTTTCTTTTCTTCTTCAATTAATTACATACTCCTCTCCTATTCTTTCATCTCCTTAAATTAGTTATGTACATATACTTAATATTTCATAAATTTATTTCAACTTTAATTATTGATTTTGACTCTAATGATGTTAATACCATTATGAGTAATAACAAAACAATACACTACCACATTTTTTGTTTCCCCCCATAATGGACTTTGTAACTTTTGGTCTTTTAATTCTAACCACATGAATTTATTTAAGGTTTTAATGTTTAGGCCAAAAGTTTTTTGTGGCTACAAGAAAGCTTCAAATTTTTCTCCTAATTTGATGTTTGGGTTTTATGATATGGAAAAATCAAGAGTTTATGGTAACTACAAAAAAAAATTCAAAATTTTTTCTTTCTTTTCTACCGAGTTTCAAGAATTGCTGTAAAAATGTTCTTACTTGATGTATTTGTATTATGTGAAAATATCCTCTCTATATCATAAAACTCGATTTGTAGGTAATCATATTTGTCCTTATTTATATGTGTGTGTGTGTGTGTGGGGGGGGGGGGGCTTGCATTTTTCCCAAAAATAAGAAAAGCTTGTGGCTTATCCTTGTATGTTGATGGTTGGACAATTATTTTCAACTTCAACTCTTCATTATTTTTTTTTCATTCTATCTTTGAAAAAATATTTCAAGAAATCTGCAAAAGCATTAAGCAATAAGTAGTTAGTGAAGTAAGACTTAGTGATTCTCTTTTCATGTGAGCATGTCATGTATATTACATAACCACATGTTAGATAATCTATCTCTTCATTGGGTGTATATTTATAATGCCAAATATAATTAGATTTTACAAAATAATGATCAATATATAGACACTATTTTATTGAGTTTAATCTTACTATTTTTGCTTCATGCATGTCAAATTAAGGTGTTTGAATTACAATAATCACAACAATTTATCTAATACTTTGATTGAATTTTTGTGTCAAAGGTTTACGTATTGAGCTTTATATTGAATAGTGAAAAATCTGAAAAGACATTTGTTTATGTATCTTTGAAAAATATTATTTATTTTGTACCAAACAAATAGGGATTGAAACTTTTTTAGCCTTTGATCCCCCACTCTCAAAAAAAAGAAATTAAAATTACAATTTTATTAAACTTAATCCAGCTATTTGTAATGTGGGAATCACTTTTTTTAATTTTAGTGCTAAATAAAATATTTCTAATGATATTTTCCATGTGCAACACACGTGTACATCAACTAGTCTATATAAAGAAGCAAAGACGAATATATATTAGCAATTATCAAATTGAATTTTGAGATCAAGTATATATTATATTTAATTTTTCTTGGGCAAAGCTATTTCGAAAGCTCTAGAATTCATGATTGAAAAAAAAAAGCCCTAGAATTCGCAGCCAGGCGATCTGAGAAAATATTCAAGAGAGAAAGGCGGGATCGTATCTAAGAGAGAAATCAGATATTTGAAAGAAAAAAGAAAAAGAAAAAGAGGCGTACGTAGAAATAAAAATCTAACGTTGTCAAGCAACAAATGAAGGTACGAATGCAACGGAGATGATTTTGACAACTATGGCTCGTTGCCTCAGCCTAGAGGTGGCAGATATGGCGAAGCTAATGATTATAGCGATTCTAAGAAGGGGATTGCTCTCATGATTACACGTGTTTTGGCATTAAATGAGTCCACGTGAGGTTAACAAGATAAGGCACATGACGAGAATATTAGTTACTCGGTCCTAGCCAAACTAACCATATTGGTTAGTTCGGTAAAGCAATAAAAGAGCTCGGCTTCTACCAAACCAAGTTGATTAATGTGTTCAGAAAATATCAAAAGTGTTTGGCTCTCATTATGACTGAGCTGTTCAAAATAGTAGATAGAAAGGCAAAGATAAATCTTTAACTTAGGCATTTTGAATAAACGAATCAACGAAATTGCAGATGTCAGGAGGAATTGTTGGAGAAATATCAACAACTTCTCAAACTGAATCACTGAATTGAAGGTGCGTCATCTTGAATCAAAAATCACGAAAACTCTAATGGGATAACCGTCTATAAAAAGCAGAAGAAGTCAAGGTGAAAGGTACTCTAAAACCATTACTAACTTAAGCATCAGAGTGCCTTCAATCAAAACACTTCGATCTTGGACAGTTTGTTCGTTTTGCAGAGAGAAAATTGGGAGATCAAGTTCAAAGACATTTCTTACTAGAAAAATCACATCAAATTCCTTGTGAGAGGTATCAATAATTTTTTGACACTTACAAATACCATGAATATGCACATATAACATCTTATTTGTATATAATGTAACTCATTAAGTTGTTTCTTTTAGAATTTTGAGGGCTATATGTTTCGGTAAATTCAGGGTTTGTGTGTTCGCTTAGTCTGCAATTTGTTGTTATTGGATTTAGAATTCATGTTTGTGTTCCAGTGAAGTTGAGGAAATACTTATGAAGCATGATTTAGGTTTTCGGTTATTTTTTTTCCGATGGGCTGTGTCAAGGAATAAAAAAAGAAGAAATTTTGGTTTTGTTTTTATGTGTTTTTTATTTGTATTTAGTTGTTTTTCGGTTAGATGGATTGGAAATGATCCTTTTTTGTTGTATCATAACTCAGGACCCCTGTGATGTGCGAGATTGAGGTTATCAGGGTGATACGGGACTGAATGATAGTCTTGTTTTTCACGAGTATGTTTGGTATCGGCTAGAAAGCACAGGTATGAATATGAGATACATGTACAATATGATACGGATAAAATCTAAAAAAATTGAATACTAATAAGGCTAGAATACATATATAATAAAATATATTTTTATATTTTACTATTATTGAACGACTTAAAAATGATAATTTTTAAAATTATTTAACAATAGTAAGCAAAATCAACAATTTATACAATAAAATATATTTTTATATTTTATTATTATTGAACGACTTAAAAATGATAATTTTTAATAATTATTTAACAATAGTAAGCAAAATTAGCAATTTTTACCTTGAAAAAAGTGTAATATCGTCCTATTATGATATATTTATAAAGTGAACATGATCGACATTTAACTAGTTGGTTTGTTTACGATATTTTTGTCTAAGATTATAGTGTAATTAGCTCATTTATTTATACTTTTTTGACATGTAGTAGTAGATGATAGTATGATACTTAAAACACACTCATGCTTTTAAAATCAAATGAAATTTTATCGATGTATTGTATTATATGTGAACTTGAAAGGAGAGGGTATAGATTAAAATTAAAAATTATACATTTGGCTCCATGTGTAAAAGTATCCATGAAATATTTGCATATTTTATTAATTATCAGATACGTATCCGATATATATCATTGAGTATCCAATGAGTATCGTATCTGATACATGTACGTTGATCTTGATAAAATATCCGTGGTTCATAGAGCATTAGAAATCCATAGTATGCTTTTTTGAATTGTAATTTTTGAAGATTTGATCGAATTCAGGAACTACTATAGGTTGTTTTTGGATGTTTTGATTCCATGTATTGGAGTTGGAAATAGAAGATAATTAGCTTATAAATTGAACCGTCAAGGTCATCAATTTTAATTTCAAGGTAGGGATTCCATACCCTGATGGACAGAGTCTTGTTTCTGATTAATTTGTGTGGTTTATTGTAGTACTGGAGATGTGAACTACAAATTCTCATATAACATCTGCACTTTTGCCAAGGAGAAGTTGATAAGTTGATCGTTTTTATGGACAGTAGGTTTTTGGGATTTTTCTGTCTTTGGTTCTGTAATGGTGTTATTTGGTTCGGTATTGGATTTTTTCAGTAACTGTTTGATATTGTTATATCATTGGCAGCATGGTTCCCGTGAATATGAAAGAGCATCTTCGAGAAGCAGAGAAAAGGAAGGGGAGAGAGTGCATGATAGGGAAAGGGAACGAGATAGGTGCAGGGGCAGGGGGAGGGGCAGGGAGAGGGATATGGATAGGGATAGGGAAAGGGACCCGCTACAAAGATTGTAATTGGCACCACAGAGATCGTCATAGGGATAGGAGTGAGAGAAAGGAAAGGGGCAAAGAGGGAGACGATGATGATTACCAAAGGAGTCGGGACTATGACAGGTAATATAAAAAAATTTGGTTTTGCTCCCAGTATCTTTCCGTTTCTTCTTTTGTTTTCAAATTGTCTATTTATCTTACTTCCTAGCACGAGGAATACAAGGATTAGGTTAATAAATCTAGAAATTGATGCATTGCTGAAGGAGTTGATAAGGTCATACCATCTATTTCACTTATTTGCACAAATTGCACTCATTTCCACTGTGTTTCTTGCTGCAGTGTGGTTTAATCATACTTGACACAGTCAGGATGTCTAGGACACAACATGGATATGTCTAAGACACGGTCAGGATACGTCTAGAATTCGGCCAGAACATGGCCAAGAATTTTTTATTAAAAAAACAACTTTTAACTACTAAAAATTTATTTTTTTTAATGTATTTTTTGTTACGTAACGTATATATTATGAATGTTAATAGATGCAATGATGTTTGATGAAAATAATGAATATTTAATTTGATCTATTTTAATTTTAATCAAAAAAATAATATTTGCTAGGTCTTATTATTAATATTATTATAATATATATTTTATTTTTAATATATTATAACTCTATTATTATTTAAAAATATATTATATTATTTTAATAATTATATCTTTATCGTACTCGTATCCTATATTTTTTAACTTTGTTATATTCCCGTGTCCGTATACGTGCTTCCCAGGCTTGTGGTTCTCCCTTATCTTTTGTGGGAGTTGCAATTCTTATCCGTCAATATCCAGCATGGAATTTTTCTAGCACACGATTACATGTATCTGCTGTCAGCAGGGAGCACCAGTTAAGGTCAGAAGACCTGGTGATTACACCCCGTCACTGGTTGCTACTCTTGGCCCAAGCCAACCTAATCCCAACCTGGACCTTGCTGCTGTTGGTTTGACACTAGGCTCCGCTGGTGGGCTTGAGGGTCCTGACCGTATCTTTGTGGGTGGGCTTCCCTATTACTTCACAGAGGTGCAGATCAGAGAGCCGCTAGAGTCTTTTGTTGTCCTTCGGACAGTGTTATTTAAGGCGTAAAACGAATCGGAGCGAGCAAGGCTTTTAACACCCAGGCAAGAAGCAAAGCGAAGCGAAATGCTTTACCGAAGAGAAGCAAACAATTAAAAAAATAATAAATATTTTAATTTAATTACTTTTAAACATCTAAACTCTAATTTTATATATACTAAATATTTAAATGCAAGTAAAATTATAAACATTTAAATTAAAACAAATATTAATAATATATGTTATGAATGACACTATCACACTACAATCAAAGGAATAAAACAGTACAGGAAATTAGCAAAATCAACACTATTAATAAAAAATCAGCGAATCAGCATTCAGCAAAATCAACATTATATCATTATAACCATTCAGCATTATAGCACTATCAGCAAATCATAATCATCAAAAAATCAGACTTACAAAGAAGAAGCATTCATTATTAGGATTACAAAGAAGCATCATTAGAAAATCAGAAGCATAAAAAGCAAAAGGAAAAAACAGAAAAAAAAAAAAAAAAAAACAGAATTAAAGAAGTAGAAGCAGCAGCAGCATTAAACAGAAAAAATAGAAGCAGCATTAATGAAGCAAAAGCAGAAAAAACAGAAGCAAAAAAAAAAAAACATAATAATGATGACACAATCAGCAGAAGTAGGAAAAAAGACAGAAGCAAAAAAAAAAACAGAATCAGAACCAGAAAGAAGAAGAATCAGAAGAAGAACAAGAGAGAAAGAAGAGAAACAGAAGAGAGAAGAAAAAAAGGAGACAAGCCTGGACTAGCGAGGAAGGAGTAATGAGACCCGGTAGTCGATCGTCAAAGAGAAAGGAGCAGCAGTAGTCGATTGTTGAACCTGAACAAAAGTAGGGTTTGCGTTTTATATTTATGGGATAAGGGGGTAATTGGGTGTATGGGCAACTTATAATTTTTTTTTCCAATTGCCCCAATTCAACGGTCTACAATAAAAATAAAACAATTCAACGGTCCACGATAAAAATAAAAGATTACATCGCCTTGCATAACTAAGGCTCTCGTTTTTTTGCCTTTCGCTTAATCTCAAAGAGCTCGCTTTTCTTGCTTTTCACTCGCTTTAGTCATGTTCGCTTCGCCTAAGGTCCTCAAGGCGACGCATCCTCGCTTCGCCTCAAGGCGAGCTTTTCAAAACACTGCTTTGGGGTTTTGATCTGGTGAAAGATAGAGAAACCGAAAACTCAAAAGGTTATGCGTTCTGTGTCTATAAGGATATGTCGGTCACAGATGTTGCCTGTGCAGCTCTTAATGGTATAAAGATGGGTGACAAAACTCTTACTGTTAGGTGAGCTAACCAGGGTACAACACAACACAAACCTGAGCAAGAGTGTATATTATTGCAGGCGCAGCAACAAATAGCCCTGCAGGTGAGGATGTTGTTTTTCTACTTCTCTGAAATCTTAATCTGGAACCTTTAACTTTTATATGCAAAGAAAATACATCTTAGTAATATCAATTTCTCATAGTGCAAATTTCCAGCTTAGGCTGTAAAGTCATTGGTTTAATTCTTAGTATATTTTCTTTTTCAGAGACTCGTGTTACAACCTGGTGCATTGGCTACTAAAGTTTTATGCTTAAGTTATGTGGTTACTGCGGATGAGCTCAAAGATGATGAGGATTACGATGATATATTGGAAAATATGAGAACAGAATGTGGAAAATTTGGTAAATATTTTGAACTACTTTTGGCTCTTCTATGATCTTAATAAATTCAGTCTTTTTACTTGTCAATCTTCTTACATGTGTATCAATTTTCGTCTTGGCTTATATTCTTCTGCTTTACAGCTCTTTTTAGTCCCACATTCTGCTCCAGAATAAGCCCCCTTTTTGATAGGAAACAAATCACTTTATTAATAAATAAGATGTAAATTACATAAGAATAAATTGGATAAGATATTCAACTAAACCCAAACAAATAAAAGCAATGAATAAAAAAGTCTATAGATCACATGAAGCTCTCCATCCCAATAAAAGAGCAAAAAGCAAAATTCCATTGAACTCCATTGAAACCGAGGCCCAAAAAGATTGTAAGAAATTAATACAGATTCACATTTCTTCTATGCATTCACTTTGGTCTTAAAAAATTCTTGTTCTGTTCTTTCCAAATAACCCAAAATGTAGTCATTATAGCATAATTTCAATGAGTAACAACTTTATCAAGTCTTTCCAATCCTTTCATCTCTTCAACAAACAAAGAATTTGATGTTGCGGGAATCACCCAGCTCATACCCACAATGCAAAATAGATGATACCACAATGTCAATGCAACAGGACAGTGTAAAAATAGATGACCAATACTCTCAAATTCACATTTACACATTACACATGTTAGTAGTATTAATCTTACAATGCGCAACTGTTCTGGGAAATATTTGTAGTTTACTTGGATTTTAGTTTTCCATATCATCAAAGCTAGAGTGAACAAATGATAAATATTTTCATCCAACAAATAATCAAAGAATGGTTTACACAGAAGACTCCAGAAGAATTAAACCTCCATCTTCCTTAATCACCAGACTTTAGACTCACAAAAATATTATTAAGAATTTCAAGAATAGAAATTAGATCGATAGTGTCTCTATTATATAAATTCCTATGAAAATCAAAGTCTCATGAATAAGTATAATCATATGAGCTAAGTATAGATGTAATGGATGAACCATGAGAATTAGATAAATGATAGGAGTCGTGGAAACCAACATGAAAAAGAAGACTATTTCGCCCAAACATCCTCCCTAAAACGTATTCTCTCCCCTTTACGCACTGTTAGCATATCACCTTGGGAAAACGTTGTCAATCTCTGAGAATTGAATCTCTATGGAGCTCGGAAACTCACCCTCTCAACCACATTAGCCCCCATCTATTGGTATGTAACCCATATTTGTTGTTGCTAACTAAATGCCACAAGGAATTTATTTCCAATTGAAACCTCCAAAATTACTTACCCAATAATGCTATATATTTCTTGCCTTCACATTACAAATTGAGAAATCACCTTTAACCCTAGATCTAGAAAGACGACTCCATCACCTTATATCTAATGCTAGAGGTTTTGCATGTGCAATGCATGGCCAAGTGTGTACTTTTCTTTTCAGCCAAGTGTATACCCTTTGTTTTACTATGCTAAAATATAAGTGAGCGGTCAAAATGTAGGTGTATAGATTTAATGTTCAATTATAAATGCGGTCAAAAGATACTAATGTAAGTGCCTACCTATTCTATTAGTCAAGCTTGGAGACCATAGTATTAGAATTTACTAGATGAAATATTGTAATTGGTGAAGGGTTTAAAAGCGCCTTATGTAGTTGCCATCTATTTGATCTTTATTGGTCAAAAGATTTAGTGTAGTTAGAATGTAAGTTGTAAGATTAGCCATTGAATTTATTGTACAGATTCAACTGATTACTCTTCTTTTTTCTCTTTTGGGTTATTTGTAGAGTTTTTTTTATTTTTAAAAAAATGCAGGTACTTTAGTTAATGTGGTCATTCCGCGGCCAAATCTGAATGGGGAAACTGCACCCGGAGTTGGAAAGGTGTGTACTCTTTCTTGCTCCCATATTGAACGCAACTACATTGTCCATGTCAATACTTTGGCTGATGGAAGATAAAACGCATTTGGTACACAGTTTCAATTTAGTGGTCGAGGCACTATGATGATTGGATTACCTCATGTCATCCTAATTATGGTTGACATCATTGATGATAAACTTTAGGCTTTACTATCTAAGCATATAAAAAAGAGAAATGGTATTGGGATTTAATTTATTGATCTAATTCACTATAATTTTTAGATTAATTATGAGACCATTAAACATTAAAATTTAGTATTGATACAATGGTTCTACTGAAATTATATCATTATATCAATAAATTAGGTCAATTTTTTAATTCTAAATAATATTACTCTATAAAATACCTTTAATCTATTTCGACATGGCTGTATCAAATTTTAAATCCATTTGCTTGTGAATATTGTCTTGTTTCCTTAGGTGTTTTTAGAGTATGGAGATGTTGAGACCTCTACTAAAGCTCGATCGGGGCTGAACGGAAGAAAATTTGGCGGGAGTCAAGTTTTGGCTGTATTCTATCCAAAGAAGAACAAGTTCTCTGAGGGGGATTATGATGGCCAGTTGTTGTCCGCTCTGCTTAATGTCTTATAAAAAATCTTTGATAAAATGTAATTTATAGAGCTCAGGTTCTGAATGATAGGCTTGCAGGTTGTCTTTGGCTGCTAGTTTCTGCTGTTTGTTGCAGAAATGACTGCGGGGATTAGGATGATTGATCATGAATTATTGACTTTTACTTTTTTCGACCCGAATCTATTTGTGGTTGCCATTATTTTGTTGGTTAGTCCCCTTTTAGGACATAATGTTTTTGTGTCGGGGAGTCTTGGTAAATGACGGAACATAATTCCGCTGATCAATCACTAGAGGACACTTGTATTAAGGACATTTTGAATATTGACTCAAATTCTAATTTAGGTAAAAAATTGATTATAAAATTTGATTTGTTTTAGATTTTTTCAATAGACAAATTTAAATTTAAAAAAAATAAATTCAAATATAAAGGAAGTGGAAATATAGTTATTGAATTTTTTTAAAAGAATGAAATTTTGGATTTTTGAAAAGAGTGAAAAATGATTATATTTGAAATATTATAAACAGATTTTCGAAGTTTGTACAAGTATATTCATTAATAAATTATATTTACATCCTTTAAAGTTTATAAGGGTACAACATTTAGACTATTTAAGTTCAAAATATTAGACTTAAACTCCTTATTAGTTACAAAACTAATTAAATTTATTAAACGACTAAATTGCTCCAATTAAATATATAAAATATTATGTCTATTACAACTTGATTGTTTGTTTAGTTTTTTTACATTTATTTCAATAGACAGTATAATTATATGCAAATGAGTATTGAATTGAATTGAATTTTTTGATATATTTATACCGATTATTATACACAATTCCTACCTTTGAATCAGTAATTGACTTAGGCATCGGAGAGTCGACCTCTGGTGCTCCCCTCGGGTCTCCAATTTTATTTTTTTTTTCAAGTGATGGAAGCCTAACAAACTAATGTAGAGCAAGAACTCTATTAATTATAATTTCTTTTAAGAAAAAAATAAAATTTTATTTATTTCAATAAATAACATAATAGAACATGAATTTTAGTTGTAAAATTTAAAATATTGGATATTCTATATTTAATTGAAGTATTTTTTGGTCTAAATGTAATATTTTAAACTTGAAGGGTTTAAGTATTATACACTTATCAACTTCAAGGGGTCTAGGTATAATTTGTTAATAAATATTGAAGAGGGTGGCTCCCTATATGACATGTGTAGTTGCATTAAATGATCCTACGTGAGCAAGACAAGACCAGTCACGTGATAGAGACATCATTAGACTAAATCATCAATTTGAAACCGAGCTGTTCAAAGAACTCAAGAATAAAGGGAAGAGGTCGATCCTCATCATGACTGAGCTGTTTCAAACAGTAAATGAAGAGTTAAAGAGATGCCTATAACTCAAGCACTCTAGTAGTCTAGTTAAACAAATTGGCGTAATTATAGGCCTGGCACGAGGAATTGCTGGAGAGATCTCAACAACTTCCCAAATAGAGCCGTCTAATTGGAGGAAGGTGTACCACCTTGAATCAAGAATCATAGAAACCCTAACTGAACAGGGGTCTATAAAAAGCACAAGGAACCAAGGTGAAAGGTATGCTGAACTCTCCTTGTCTTCTTGTAATTCATTCAGTCCCCATTACTAACTTAAACATCAGAGTGCCTTCAATCGAAGCACTTCGATCTTGTGCAGTTTGTTTGTTTTGCATGAAAGAGAAGACAAAGAGACGTAGTTCAAAAACTCGTCCTTACCAGAAATACTAATCTTTCATACGTGTGAGAGGTTTGTCATTTTTTACCTCACATTTTTTTGCGCTGTCTGTGGGAAGATTCTCATCAATCGAAACAAAAAGCCAATATCAAGATTGAAAAGTGTCATCGGATCACCTGTAGGCAGTTTTGCCTTGGGGAATTCCGATCCAAACTACAGAGGTCGCTTCCATCCGGTAGCGACGTTAGGATGCATGTGGACAAAAGCCCATCTAAATCCCGTAAGGATGTCGAATTGTTCTCAGTAAGCTTTAGACCATCCAGACAGCAGAATCAACAAAACGAAGACTGTGGTGAATCCCTCTGTGTCGAGGGGGAGAACCACTATTTGGCAAAGTTGGTTCAATTCTTGCAGGACTGACTTGACGCACATGACAAATTGTTTAAGAAATCCTACGCTAGGGAAAATGATATGATAAAAGAAAACAAGGAGTTAAAAGCTAGATTGAAGGATATGACTAAGAGAGAGAAACGTAACAAGGAAAGCCGACGGGAGAGTCCCGAGAAAAAAATGAGATAGAAGAGAAAATGCCGAGGAAGATGAGTACAAGCATAAAAGACCTCGGGGCAGGAGGAAGAATCTAGGAAGCAGTTCATTATTGAGGAGCTCAACAATTGACTGAAGAGACCAGAACAAAAATCGGCTAGGAACCTAGCTAGAAGAGCAACTGAAGAATATGGAGACAATTCGGAGTCCTCACCTTTCACCATGTGGATCGAGAGGGGGCGAATCCCAAGTAAATTCACCGTCCTAAACTTCAAGTTATATGATGGAAGGACCAATCCAGCCTCCCACATCAGACACTATAGGTAGCTTATAACCATTCATCGGAGGAATGAGTCGTTGCTCTACACCATCTTCCCCAGTGGCCTCGGGGGGTCGGCCATGAAGTGGTTCGACAGTTTACTGAAAAGGTCGGTAAACAGATGGGCTCAGTTAGCCAAGCAATTCACAGCTCGGTTCATTAAAAGCAGTAAACAACTTAAAGATGTCGGGGCCTTATTGACATTAAAAAAAAGACATAATGAAACTCTGAGAGAATATGCTCATCATTATTGGGAAACAATGAATGAAGTAGAGACTTGCAACCTAAAGATTGCTATGACATCCTTCAAGATAGGGTTGCCAAAAGAAAATCCCTTGTATCAGTCCCTTACCAGAAGGCCTGCCGTTGACATGGAGGAGCTAATGGTGAGAATCGAGAAGTACGCAAAAGTTTATGATAACTTATTCAGGGATGTGAGGAAGGAGCAACCCCGTAGAGAGCAGTTTAGCCGTGACAGACAGACCAAGCCGAATAGAGAAGTAGATAAGAAGAAAGAAAAAGAAGGTTTTCTCTCGAAGTCTCCTTTCATCGGGGTCAATACAGTGTTTAAAGAGCCGATATACAGAATATTGGCTCAGATCAAGGGGAAGCCATATTTCAAGCGGCCCAAAAAGCTAATAGGGGATCCTTCAAAGGGGAATATTAATTTTAGGTATTCCTATCATCGGGATGTAGGTCATATGACCTAAAATTGTCGATCTTTGAAGCAGCATTTGGAAGAGCTGATCCAGGCGGGACATCTTGCCCAGTTCATTGAGGATGGTGCTAAAACTGGTGGAGGGAGAACCGAGCCTCAAAGGGAGCAGACCGCGGTAGTAGGTGTTATAGACGTAATCCATGCTGCAACAAACCCGCAAATGGCTACAAATAATGATGCAACAACATACATCTAGAAATCCGTAAATGAGAGATAAGTGTATTAGTTATAATTGTCCCCCGAAGTCATGAAGAAGAAAATGAAGATTGAGGACACAATCGAAATGATCTGCTTCTCTGAACTAGATCTGATCCGGATACATCAACCGCAAAACGACGCATTGGTGATAACTCTCAAAATCGCCAATTATAATGTAAAGAGAATATTGATCGATCCAGGAATCTCCTTTGAGATCATATATATGGACTACTTCCTAAAGTTTGGGTTAAAACATGAAGATCTCAAGCCATCCAATACCCCACTGGTCGATTTTAGTGGGAAAACTGTTCTCCCAAGAGGCAAGATCACTCTTCTTGTGAAAATTGGCTCCGTTAGGGTCACGACCGAGTTTTTTGTGGTAGACATGACCTCGGCATACAATGCCATTATAGGTCAAACCTGGTTACACAAGATGAAGGCAGTACCTTCAACATATCACCAAGTGCTCAAGTTTCCCTCGGTGAAAGGAATAGTGAATATTCGAGGAGACCAGGTAAGTTCCACAACATGCTTACTAGCCTCGGTAAAAGGAAGGGATGGTCAGGAGAATAAAGAGAAGAATTCGGCAGTCAAAATGGAGAAATGACAACCAATCCACGATAGGTAGGTTAACTCAGTCAATCGAACTATTGAGGAAGGACCTAAAGTACCTTTAGGTACAAAATAGGAACCAACCGACCGAACTATTGAACAATTACCTAAAGCACCTTTAGGCACCGAGCTGGAATTGACCGACCGAATAGTGGAAGACTTGTCTAAAGTATCTTTAGACAAGTATGATGATAAGTACTTTCTTTTAGGCATCTCATTGAGCCCCGAGCAGTGAAATGAACTTGTTGCACTACTAAGAGAATACACAGACGTCTTTACAACGTATGAAATGTCTGGCGTACCGCCTGAAGTGGCCTGTCATCAATTGAACGTGGATCTGGGCTTTAAGCCGATCAAACAAAAACTTAGGAGGTCTACACCACAACATCAAGAAGCCGTAAAGGAGGAGGTGGCTTGTTTGTTGGAATCCCAGACCATCAAGGAGGTTCAATATCCGACCTAGCTATCGAATACGGTAGTAGTCAAGAAAAAGAACGGTAAGTGGAGGGTCTGTGTTGACTTCACCGACCTCAACAAAGCGTTCATGAATTTGAAGTCATACTTGTCCTCCCCCCCAATTCTGACAACACCATTACCCAAGGAAAGCTTATTCCTCTACCTAGCCATATCTGAACACGTAGTGAGTGGGGCACTGATGAGAGACGATCGTGAAAAATTAAGGCTTGTATATTATATGAGCAAGATGTTATTGGATCCTGAGTCGAGGTATACTCCATTGGAAAAGCTCGCACTTGCATTGGTTAGATCGGCTAGGAAGCTGAGACACTACTTTCCAAGCACATCGAATTGTAGTGTTCACTGACCAGCCTTTGAAAGCCCTTTTTCAGAAGGCCGACCTATCGGGACGCATTGCTAAGTGGGCAGTAGAGCTCGGGGAGTTCGACATTGTGTTCGAACC